GTCAGTGGCAGTGGCCCTATTCCGAGAGCTTGGTAGCCACATTGGTTAGTGCCTTCCATGTTGGACACTGCAGATACAAAATGTGCCCATCATTACAGAAAGTTCTATCAGACAGTGCTAAATTCTGGAATTTGCCACCCAAAGTCTGGTCCTCAGATGAGCAGCAGCACCTGGGAACTTGTTAGGAATGCAAAATCTAGAATGCCACCCAAGACCTTCCAAATCAAAGTCTGCATTTTAATAAGATTCCCCAGTGATTCTGTACTCAAATATAAGATTCCTTCTGGCCCTAAAAAGAAAATTTAAGAATCCAAATATCTACTTGACAAAGTCTTTGAGAAAGAAACCAGCAAGCACCTTATCAAAATTCTGATTCACTGATTGGCCTAAAAGGAAAGAATTGGGAATGTCTGAAGAAAGATCACAGAATGGCCATCCCTGCATGGGAGCAAGAGGAAGGGTATCAGCAGATGTCTGACGGGGACATGGATGGCATCCCAGTGCTGGGAGCGGTACTGCCCTGCTCCTACCTCTAAGCTGCCCATCAACCTGGGCATTCAATCTCCACCTAATGAACAGAGGATGGAAGTTCTCAATTTTCTGGGGCAGCAAAGAAACAAGAAGAAATGGATTGAATTTGCTGGGCACCTTATTTTCAGGAAGTCTTAAGGTGCTTGCTAAGGCTCCCCACATTAAACCTCAGCAGGAAGGAGCAGGCGGGTCTTATATTCGATTAGGGAAAATGATGGTGACCGAAGGGCAGACTGGAATACCAGCCCCTGGGCTTGTCCAAAACTCTGCTCTGTGGCTTCAGCTATAAAACAGGAGAGAATGTGTTCAGTCCTCTCACTGCAGAAAGTTTTGGTGTCTTGGTGACAGGCTGTTTTCAGCACAAAAACAAGAAGGATAATATTAGAGCTGTTGCTTGTTAAGAAAACATGTGCCTCTTACAGTACAAAATTGCAGCAATATATCTTATTTAATTGATATTAGATTTTATTGCATAATGTTAAAATTTTAATGTTTCCACAAATCTCTTTCATTTCAAAGAAATGTCTGTTTTAAGAACACATTGTACAAGGATGAAGGCAAGAGAAGGGAAAATAGATTCAGAATATACATTATTAATTTTTTAGGAAGCTAGTGAAATGGTGCCCCATAAAGGGAATTAGAAAAAATTAAAACAGCTGGGATTTCTGATTAGCTTTAGAGAAGAATCTGCTAATTTAAGACATAGTCTTACAGAGACAACTATTTTGATGCAGGAAGAAAAAAGTGAGCAGATAGTGGAAATGGGTTTGTGACTGGTAGAAAGTATGACGTGTCCCAGGCAGGGACAAACACGACGAGCTGAGCGTCCTGTTGTGGAATCCGGGAATGGTGCAGGGAAGAAGCCCTGCCCGGGAGTCAGGGAAGCCAGGTGTGGGTCCAGCTGTGCCATGTACTCTGTGTGATGATAGCTGACAAATTTCAGTAAGCACTCAGAGTCTCGGTTCCCACTGTGTAAAGTGCAAAGGGCATCCACAGGCTTTGGGTGGGAGTGGGGGGCAGTGGCACGAAGAGATGCCTTATGAACAATGCCTACAACATAATAGGCAGTTAATACCTACCAGTGTACCAATTAGTCAAATAATGGTTTGGGGTCAAATCCAAAGCAATGGCAAAGTAAGTGCATAGGGACACGCCTGGGAGGAGAGGCAGCAGCTCCTGGCCTGCTCTGGCGCAGGCCTCTTGCCCTCTGCCCACCTGCCCACTGAGTCTTCATGCCTGCAGCGAAGCAGGCCTGACTTGGGTTGGCAATGCTGGGGCAGGTTCAGGAGCACAAGGGCCTGTGGTCTCCGTCTTCCTGGGGGCTATGCATGTGAGTACTGCCAACCTTCAATCCAAACTCTGATTCCGAAAGGAAGCAAGCTTACAGGAAGAAAGAACTGTGGCCTTTTGCTGGTCCCCATTTCAATTACCATTCTAATTCCCTTTCCTCCGCATGGAGTAAGAACATGCTTGCAGGTGGGATCTGGAATCTCTGCTAAGGCCAGTCCCACATGGTAATGACCCTTCTTCAGCACTCAAGTTCTTCCCATATCTCTTTTCTGCTCTGAGCATTTCCATTCAGATTAAGTGGCAGGAACGGCAAGTCCTCCCTATTCTTGCTGGAGAAATTCACACTCATTCATTCCCAACCTGCCTATTTCTCCATCTTATTTCTGCCCTTCACTAACCTCGTTCAGCCTGAACACAGAAAGAGAATAATTTCCTCACCTCTGGTTGCTCAGTTCACACCCTCCGGCCAATGCCAGATTCATCTCTCACATGACGTGTGTAATTCACTGGTTCTAACAGTGTTAAGCTGCCCCATAAACCCAGCCCCATCCTATTTAATGGGAGCAAGGAATTGATTTGAGAGTATTTAAAAATTGATCAATATCATCATTAAAATTCCATACGTATAATACTCTTTAGATATTTTCATGTCGATCAAAAGAGAAGAATATCAGATTTATTTTATATTGTTCCACACAAACCCAAGTCTTTCTGAGTGCATCACAGACCTAAATCTGCATGGCTGATGGGGTGGTAACAGCCTCAGAGCACCTTCATTTTAATTATTCCAGATCTGGGAATAAAGAAAAGATGATTAACTCAGTAACAAAAATATTCTTATTTTCCTTGTAAGATTCTTGGGAGGGAAGGATGCTCAGAGGGTGGGTAGGGGTGGAGGAGGGAAGAAGCAATGGTTACAGAGCAGATACAGTGGCCTCAGTTCAATGACACATTTAAGTTTGGATGCCCTTGGAAAGCTTTCTGGTCTGTAAAATTAGAGCACAAGAAAGCGGATGATGTTTAAAGAGTAATCTTACATAATACAGTTATTGACATATCAGCCCAGGGTTCAACTATTAAGGCTTATAATATTGAATGGTTGCCTTTATTAATGAACAATTCCTACCTAACAGACCAGTACAGAATTTAGAGCTTAAAATAATCAGCATTTATTACACACATGTCTGTGGTCATCTGGTGGGCTGGCTGGGACTGGTTGGTCTAGGATGGCCTCTCTCACATATGTCTGGCAGTTGGGTGGCCATTGGCTGAGTTGGTGGATCAACTGGCCAGGTGCCTCTCACCATGCAGCCATCCAACCTGGTGCGACAGGATGCATGATGGCCCCCCAAAGATGTTCGTGTCCTAATGCCCAGAAGAGGGACTCTGCAGATGTGATTAAGTTAAAGGTCTTGAGAGAGGGAGATAGATCATCCTGGATTACCTGGGTAAGCGCAATGTATTAACAGGGGTTCTGATAAGAAGGGGTCAGGGATCAGAGCCAGAGAGAGAAGATAAAAGGATGGGAGCAGAGGTTAGAGAGGAGGGAAGATGCAACATTGCTGGCTTTGAGACAGAAGAAGCATCCATGAACCAGGAAATATAGGCAGCATATAAAAGCTGGAAAAGGCAAGGAAACAATTTCCCCTTAGAGGCTCCAGAAGCATCACAGCACCTGGACCTGTTTTAGACTTGACCTGCAGAATTATAAGGGAATAAATATGTGTCTTTAAAACACTAAGTTTGTGGTAACTTGTTACAGCAGCAATAGGAGGCTAATGCAGCTGGACTTGTTAACATGGCAGTAGTAGGCTTCCAAGAGACCATGCAGGATTGAGTCATAGCTCAGAATTGTCACTGTCATTTCTGCCACATTCTATCCTGAGTCACAAGGCCAGTTCAGATGCAAGAGATGGCGAAATAGACCCCACCCGTTGATGGAGTCTGTTTGTCTCACCTCTGGGTGGGAGAAGCTGCAAAGTCCTATTGCGAGGAGTGAACACAGAAAGGGGTGAAAACTGTGGCCATTTTTTGTGATCAGTTTCCCACTATGCCCTTTACAAATGTCGGAGGACATTGAAAAACACTTTCTGACCGTGGTTTCTTTTTCATTTTCAGGGACACAGGAAGCATGGGTGTCCGGACCTTAGGCACTGCTATCTTCCTGAGTCTTTGGGAGACTTATGTGTGTCCCAGAAGTCCTGGATGGATGGACTTTATCCAGCACTGGGGAGTTTGTTGTTGTGTTGCTTTCATTTCGGCAGGCCTCCTTTCCGTGGCCTTCTGCTGGTTTCTGTCATCGGTCGCAGCACTCACCACCTCTTGGATTAGCATGTGTGTTCTGCTGTGTTGCTCCAAGCACGCGCGATGTTTCATTCTACTCGTCTTTCTCTCCTGTGGCCTGCGTGAGGGCAGGAACGCTTTGATTGCAGCTGGCACGGGGATAGTGATATTTGGACACGTGGAAAATATTTTTCAGAACTTTAAAAGTCTCCTAGACAGTATGACTTGCAATCTAAGGGCAAAGAGCTTTTCCATACATTTTCCACTTTTGAAAAAATATATTGAGGCAATTCAGTGGCTTTATGGCCTTGCCACCCCACTAAGTCTATTTGATGACCTTGTTTCTTGGAACCAGACCCTGGCAGTCTCTCTTTTCAGTCCAAGCCACGCCCTGGAGGCACAGCTAAATGACACCAAAGGGAAAGTCCTGCATATCTTGTACCAGATGACAACTGCAACAGAGGTGGTGTCCTCACTGGGTCAGAAGCTATTTGCTCTTGCAGGGCTTTTGCTGGTCCTACTTGGCACTGGCCTCTTCATGAAGCGATTTTTGGGCACTGGTGGTTGGAAGTATGAAAACATTTACATCACCAGACAATTTGTTCAGTTTGACGAAAGGGAGAGGCATCAACAGAGGCCCTGCGTCCTCCCGCTGAACAAGAAGGAAAGGAGGAAGTATGTTGTCATCCCGTCTTTCTGGCTGACTCCTAAAGAAAGGAAAAACCTGGCGCTGTTTTTCCTCCCCATCCTTACCCATCTCTACATCTGGGTGCTGTTCGCTGCCGTAGATTATCTGCTGTATCGGCTCATTTTCTCAGTGAGCAAACAGTTCCAAAGCTTGCCAGGTTTTGAGGTTCACTTGAAACTGCACGGAGAGGTAGGGGCTCACGGGCACGTCTCGTGTTGCATCGTGGCTGTTTGCTGGTCTGTCTTGCAAAAGATCATGAACTTCCTGAGGCAGGGGAGTGTCTTCTTCACCTTTGCTTTCCCAGCGCCCAGCACACTGCTTGCCACATAGAAGGAGCCCAACAAATGCAGGTTCAGTTGAAGTCCTGATGTTAGGGTGTGATTCTGTATTCATTTCCTGTGGCTACTGTAACAAATAGCACAGTGTGGGTGGCTTCAAACAACAGACGTTTATTATCTTACAGCTCCGGCGGTAAGAAGTCCGAAATGAGTATCACTGGGCTACAATCCAGGTGTTATTGGCGGGGCTGCATTTTCTCCAGACTCCGGGGGAGAATCCACTCTTGCCTCCCCCAGGTTTGTGGTGGCCGCTGACATTCCTTGGCCTGTGGCTGCTACCACTCTCGTTTCTGCTTCAGCCTTCGTGTTGCCTTATTCTGTGTATGGAAAACTTTTCTCTGCCTCCCTCTTAAAGAACACGTGTGATTGCATTAGGGCTCCGCAGGATAACCCAGGGTAATCTCTCCATCTCAAGATCTTTAACGTAATCACGTTTGCAAAGATGCTTTTCCTGAATAAAGGAACATTTACAGGTTCCAGGGACTAGGCCCTTATATCTTTGGGGGCCATTTTTAGCCTCCTACTGTCAACAGCTGCTGACACATGGCAGTGGGTGTCTCTGATGTTGAACATGAGGTTGATTCTCAAGCAAAATCAGGAGTGTCTGGTATGAACCTAAGAGACCAGGATTTGGGGTCTGCCTTCAGACTTGTGCAAGCAGACTTTGAACAACTTCTCTGAGTGAGAACTTCTTTTCTGTGCTACTGAGTCCTTATCAAATGTCGGAGTGCTCTCAATGCATCAGCGTATGCTTAAAAGATGATTGTTGGAAAAGGGCTCCTAAGTAACCCAATAATATGGCTGGCAATAGTAGCTGGCAGCACTCATTTAAAAAAATGCTACCCAGCTATTCTTTGGATTTTTTTTGAGATAGTTATTATGTCAGTGGTTCTCAACCTTAAATGTGTATTAAGAATTTCCTGGAATCAGGTGTGGTGGCTCATGCCTATAAATCCCAGCACTTTGGGAGGCTGAAGCAGGATGACCGCTTGAGGCCAGACATTTGAGACCAGCCTGGGCAATAGAGCAAGACCCTGTCTCTACCAAAAAAAATTTTTTTTAAATTAGCCAAGTGTGGTGGTTTGCATCTGCAGTCCCAGCTAATCAGGAGGCTGAGGCAGGAGGATCACTTGAGCCCAGGAGTTTGAGGTTGCAGTGAGGTATGATTGTGCCACTGTACCAGCTTAGGTGACAGAGGGACACCCTATCACTAAAAAAAAAAAATTCCTGGGGGAGATACAGAGTATCAGGCATTTATAATTTACAGAGATTTTGTTTTAAATGGGAGAACATTTTTAGTAAGCACACCATGAGATTGCAAGGTAGGTGATGCATAGACCCACACTTTGAGAAACTGGTTTGGGTGCCAGCAAGCAAGGACCTTCTAAACCAGTGGTCCTCGACCTTGACCACAGAGTTGCATCACTGCAGAACTGAACAAACAAACTGACTCAATAATTCTTTCCAGAATCCCCAGGGATTCTGATTTAATTAGACTGGGGTGAAAGATTTTGAAAGCCTCCCCAAGTAATTCTAATGTGTAGCCAAAATTGAGAACCACTGTTCTAAACCCATCCCCCAAATAACAAAGCCAGAAATTTAACCTCTAATCACCACGGGATGGATCTGGGAAAAATATTAATTGGCCAAGATAGTGCCTTTCTCTGAGCTGATGCCTCCTGTGTCTTGAGGAACTGGCTTTCTTTCCTCTCCTTCTCCCTTCTCTAATTGGCAGCTGGGTGCCAACAGAGGAGACGCTGGTATTTGTGTGTCCCACCTTCATCTTTTCTCTTCCATTTTCCCTGTGGAAATTTGTGATCATGTTGACATTTCAGAGGATCTGGATATCGTCAGATCCTTGTATTTTTTTTTTAACCCAGAAGTTGTGAAGCCGAACCAGGGGGGGCGTGTGTGTCCATGTGCATGTGTGTGTGGGACGCTCACCAGCCCGGGCTGGTGAAAACGCTCCTCTTCATCAGGCTGCGATGGGTTGTGCTGCTGTGGGGGGAATCACAGAGGGGAAATGGTAGCAACGTTGCCTGCAAACCTTCCTTTGAAACCCCATTTTCCATCTCTCTCTGTGTCTCCCAGGGCCTCGGATCCTCCTGCTGCGTCCACACTTTCCCTCCACTTTCCTCCACCTCAGCACATACGTCCCTCAGCTCCTGCCCTCCTAATCCAGCTGCTTCTCAGAGTTGATTACTCCGAGCTCCCTGCTTCCCCTGAAGAGATCAG